ATCGCCTATTACTCTTCATTTGGCATCCCCACAAGCTGGAAAGTTGAACACTCCGTGATAACTGATAAGTAACTGTTGTTTTACAAGAGTTTACGCATCCACTCGTACATCAAGACCAATTAATTGTACACGATAATATGTCCCAAAAAACATATCCCAAACCACAACGAAGAATCCCCAAGCATCATCACATTTTACCCTTTCTGCCAGCAACAATGTCATTTCATCAAATTGGCAAAAGAAAGAAGGAAAAAAAAAAGGAGGGGCTAACAAATTCAGCTCTTTCCCGAATTAATAGCGGCCGACACGAAATCCTCACACCTCGTGTACCCCGACCCCACCACATCCGACAGCGCGCCCATCACGTCAAACGACTCCTGCAGGTCAGCCGCTGACATCATCTCGTCCAGCCAAGTCAGCAGCTCCTTCGAAAATCCCACCATCTCCTTCACATTCAGCAGTCTCTCCCCCATCACCAACTCCCACCCTTCCATCTTCCTCCCCTCGTCCTCCAAGACGACCTTGGGCCCCACTGCAGCCGATGACGACAAGCCCTTGCACTTGAAATAGCGCTGGAGCTGCTCGATCAGGCCCGTGTAGACGAGCATCGGCTGGACGGTCGAGAATGGGTCATCCCCGCCTTCCGGCGGGCCCCGCTGGGCCGACCGGCCATGCCGTTGCATGTGGGCGTGGTGTATGCCGCGCTGAAGGAAGGCGGGCCGGTGATGGGCCCACGACTCGTACGGCTCGCATAGGAGAGACGTCACCATCATGAACTGGATAGTCTCCTCCGAGGAGGTCGATAACTGCTGAGCTGTGGTTGTGGTTGCTGAGGTGGCGGCTGGGGGCGAGGAGGTAATTTTCGCGGTGGGCGAGGAGGATGATAAGTAGGCGGCTATGGATCTCGAGAGGGTGTTGCGCTGGGAGGGGTCGTGGTCGAGGAGGTGGCGGGCCATCTGAATCATGAAGGGCAGGAACTTAGCGTTGCTCTCTTTGCCACCGCCACGGCTGTCCGCGCTGAAGGATGCCCCCGTCGCGAAACGTGCCAGCATCTGTGAAAATCGAACACGTGAATTTTTTTAGGTTAACTGCATTTTGCTTGAGAGAAATGAGAAAAAAAAATAAAAAATCAAACA